TCAGACAGCCAGCGGGCACAGACCACGGAGTCCCCCACCATCTACACACTCCAACCACTGAGCCTTCCCATTTCCCGGCTCACAGAACCACCGTCCACCAGAAGTTCAGGCCCAGCAACTCTGGGGTCTACCCTGGGTCCTGGCTCCTGCATATACTCTCCATCCAGTCCGCCCCGGGCTCCCATCAGCACTACCTTCAAAATACTCCTAAATCTGACCACTTCTTCCACATGCTACCTACCACTCTGGTCTAGGCCACCACCGCCTCTCGGGACTAGCTTCGCAACTTCCTGGGGTGGCCCTGCCTCCACCTTGCCCCGCTACAGACCACCCTCCACCCAGCAGTCTCCCTAAAGCATCAGTCGTTGGGGACGCTCCCCTATGAAACTCTCCAGCAGGGTCTCCTGACGCTGAATCAGAAATCCAACCCCTCCTTTGCCGAGACCACCACACGTGCACCTCCTCTACTGCCTCCCCCATCCCAGCCTCTCCCCCTGGCCTTCTTTTGCTGCTGCCAACATGCCAGACGTGTCCTCTGCACCTGCTAGTCCTTGGCCCGTGTTATCGGCAGTATTGTGTTCACTCAAATTCTTATGTCAAAGTCCTAACCTCCAGTATTTCAGAATGTGACTGTATTGGACACAGACTTCAAATTAGATAATTAAAGTAAAATAAGGTCACGAGGGTGGGCCCTCAGCCATTATGACTGGTGTCCCTACAAGAAGAGGAAGCTGGGATGTGGCACACGGTGAAGACCACATGAAGACACAGCGAGAAGAGGGCCTTCTGCCAGCCAAGGAGAGGCCTCAGCAGACACCAACCCTGCTGACACTTTGATCCTGGACTTCCAGACTCCACAACCGTGAGCAAGTAAGTTTCTGTTGTGCGAGCCCCTCAACATGTAGCACTTTGTTATGGCAGTCAAATGGGCACAGCCTGGAAACCTCTCTTCCCACATTCCCCCAGCTGCCTCCCTCTCACTAGTCAGGGCCCATGCAGGGCCGGCTCCTTGGAGAAGCCGTCCCCAGCCACCCTGTGTAAACATGGCACCCCTCCCTCGCCCTCTTCCACACCACCTAGCTCGGTCTTCTTCAGAGCATTCATCATCACACCTGAGATGATCTATTTGTATGGTCCCTGTCCATCTCCTTCCCCCGGAACATCGGCCCTCTGAGGCAGGGACTTCCTGCCCAATGCACCACGGTACCCCTCCCGACACAGGGCCCAACGCTTTGAAGGTGCTCTGTAGAGACCGGCTGGCTGGCCGGCTGGCTGCACCCTGGCCGCTCCTCGAATCCCTCTGCTTCTGCTCAGCCGTTGGGGTGCTCTTCCTTCCTAGCTCGGCTCCTGTTCACCCATCCATTCTCAGCTTATCTCCTTTTGCCCCTCCTGACAGCATGGAGACTTCCTCTCCCTCCCTGTGCACCCTCATCCCTGGCTCTTGGCCTTGGCACCTTGCAGGGCGCCCCACGGAGGGCAGGGATTGTTTCTTTCCCACCTTTGCAGCCTCCGGGCTGAGCCAGGGCCCCATATAACCCTCAGCAAACACGGACTGAACTGAATACCTGCCCTCCTGGCTGTCAGGTGTGGCTGCGAGGCAGAGTGGGTGATGGAGGCAGCTGTTCAGTTTGGGGAGGGAACAGGGCAAGAGGAGCAATGTGTTCCCCCAGCTTCCCTCAGAAAATGACCTTTCAGTGGGAAACACTAGAACTGTTCAAAGTACACAGTATCGGCCACGTAGACCAAAACAGACCTAGTTCTTTCCTTTACAGGAGTATAAAAAAACAGAACCACACATTTTTCACGAAGGGCTGGAAACAAAGCAAGGTCGTGGTTCCAAGAAAGCCGGGAAGAAACCTCATGCTGCTGTTTGCCGGGCACCACCCTGGGGCAGGGGACACGACCAGGTGGCTTCTCTAGGTCCTCCCCATTCTGGTTCTACGCTGAGTGCATGCAGCCAGCTGCAAATGCAGAATCTTCTACATCTGGGCCTGAGTGAGGAGGGCAAGGCAGGGTTGGGCTGAGGCACTGGGGGTGCACAGGCCTCGGACTCACCTGCTTCATGCGAGTGGTCTAAATTGTGCCGGGCTGCTTGCACGGTCAGGAAATGAAAGAGGAGCCACAAGGAACACGGAAAGCCCCGGAAATGTGGCTCACTCCCCTGGCAGCCAACCCAGTTCACCTTCTTGACAATCACAGCGCCCTAAGGAACACATACGTGCATGAGAGCATATATGGAGAAGAAAAGGAATGGGACGGGTGGTGAGGAAAGAAGCTTCCAGGAGACTCAAAGGTCAGCACACAACCCTAAGACAAACGAGGTCCCTTTCTTAGTCTCTCATCTCAAAGGTGGCCTTTCCCTTCCACTGGCGACACCCATCAAAGGAGCAGCAGATCTGAAAAGCTATGACACAGACTGAGTTACATCCTTATTCTAGCCTCAACTTCCCCATCTGTAAAATGAGAAATGAGGGGTCTGGCCTCTGAGGTCCCTTCGAGCCTTGGCATCCTACAAATCTGTAAGGCTGTGTGCCTCTGCTGGCTGCCGTGGCCCACCTTTGCAAAGAGCAGAACGCACAGGAGCCCAGAAAGGTGCCCCTGGAGAGGGCCAGAGGGGCCCAATGTGCCTGCGGTCCACAGGGAGCAGTGGCTACAAACTCGCTCACGGCTGGTATCTCACAATTGGACTTGAATCCCAGTCCAATCACCTACCGGCTATGTGATTGTAGACAAGTTACACAATCTCTCTCACCCTCAGTTTCTTCATCTGCTAAACAGGGATAACAGCTACCTTCCACTAAAGCTGGGAAGATTAGATGAGCTATGGTGCACGCACACAGCTCTAAGTAGCAGTTTATTCATTACGAATGGATCCAACCAGGATCCCGGACTCCTGCCCCAGTCCAAGTTGGTGAAGGAGGTCGGAGGCTACAGGGTGAGCCTTCCACTCCCACAGTTATTGAGGATACGAAGAAGGACGTCAGTTGTCCCCAGACTCACCTCCTTCCTGTTGTCCAGGGCAGCTTTAAAGAAACCGTAGGGAATTTTCTTTCTCTGCTGCCTCTTGAGCCAGTCATTCATGGAATGCAGGAAGTTCTGGACTAAGGGCTGGCCAGGGAAGTGCTGTGGGGGGCACAAGGGGAAGCCGGGGAGTGAACAGCAATTCCCCCAGAGCCCTGCAGTCCCAGGGAGGAGAGGTGGCTAAACAGAAGCGGGCCAAGGCAGTTTCTTGAAATGTCCCCAAGCCACCAGGAAAACATCCTGCCTAAGATGCAAACGTGTGCTCCTCACAACCTCTGCTCTGGGGCACCTGGTAAGGCGAGGGAGGGGCTGGGGAGAGAACAGAGGCTCTAAGTCAAGCTGGGTCCTTGAGGCTCCCTCTCTCAAGGCGGACCCTGACCCCACACTGCCCCTGGGAGGAAGGCTGGGCAGCTGCGTGGCTTCCCGGGGCTGCTGGGCACCTGGGCCACACAGTCCTCTTTGCAGGTGATCTTCTGAGAGACCAGCTGACTTGCTGACTTACTGACTGCTGGGCGAGGCTGGGGAACAGCCTTCCATCTGTATTCCGTAGGATGCCATGGGGACAAGGCGGCCCTGGGGCGCATAGCCAAGATCCAGACCTTGATGGTAACTCCCAAGAGTCTCTGAGGAGCATGAAAAGCTACTCTGACAATAAGTCAGCTGAAATCTCATTAGTATCAGCACTTTAAAGCCACAGGACTCCAGGGAGGAGGACAGATGTGTGTGTGCATGTGCGCGTGGACACACACACCAGGGGAGGGGGGCAGAAGAGGGGAATGCCAGCAGAGCAGGTCAGATAAAACCACCGAGACACTGGTCAAGAGGACAATGACACTGAGGAAAGTTCGGAGGAGAAAGAAAAAAGAAGGCTCACTACACAGAAAAACCCGCCAGAGGACTCAGTCCTGGGAGAAAGCCATTACATATTCCCATCGACCCTCCAGGGCTGAACACGGCCCCTGAGGGAGAAGTGGCCACAAGAATCTTGTCTTTGACCCACTCCCTCTTGGTCAGCTCACTCGGGCCTCTGGGCTCCCAACATGATTTTACAGCTTTAAGCCAGCGTTTTTCCCTGACCTTTGCCCTTCATCCTGACTTGGACCCTTCCTCCTTCTAAGACCCTGGTGTCAGGAGGAAGGATGAATTAAAGGCTCTGGACTTCAGGGAGTCACCCTCTGGCTGGAGCAGGAAACGCTGGTGACCGCACGCCACCCAGTGGCCAGTCCCACCAGCTGCTTACAGGAAGGAGCAGGGACGTCGTTGGGGAGGGACCCAAGGCTCTGGCTTCAGGCTGTGACAGCACCACACAAGCACAAGACTGAGCCAGGTGGGCCTGAGGCCAGGACTGGGTGAGGTGGGGACTGGGGAGGTAGGGCTGGCAAGCAGTTCCCGATGGGGAGGCACAGATCACCCCCAGCGGCAGCCCCAGCTGCCCACAGACCTGCACCAAGAAGAAGCAGACCTGGCACTCAGGAGCTGAGGGTAGCTGAGTCAGCAGTCAGGCTCAGCAGGAGACCAGAGCCCGCATCTGACTCAGCAGTCCTCAGCAGCACAGAGCCTCGGATTTTAAGTAGGGCAGCACTGGAGTGGATCTGGAACCAGACAGAAGGATGCAGGGAGGAAGGGGGAGCCAGCTACAGAGGGAAGAGAGACAAGGGAGACTGGGGCCCTACTCACCTGGGCCAGCACTGCCATGAACTTTTTCAGGGCCACCAGGCGCTGCCCTTCCAGAACAGAGAACTTGCCCACTTCTACCCGCAGGATGTAGTGCAGTGCAGATTCCAGGTCAGCCATGTAGATCTTGGAGCTAAGGACCCAGGAGGAGGCAGAGAGAGAGAGAGGTGTTAGCCATAGGGCAGCGGCTGGGGACGAGTGCCCAGGGCTAAAGAGAGAGAAGGGGAGGGCCATCTCTGATGGTCACAGAGTCTTGTAAGTTAGCACCAGGCTCTGCCACTGACCAGCTCTGTGACCCTGAGTATATGACTTAACTTCTCTGAGCCTCAATTCCTCATTTATTATCACAAGTGAATAATAAATTGCTCACGGGTAGGTTGCTAAGAGGATGAAACAAAAGCACAAAGGTAAACCCCTCAGCAACTCCTGGCACGGAGTAGGGGATCCCCCTCTGCAGGCTCAGAGCCAGTCTCACCCATGACTCCTTAAAGGTGCTTTAGTCAGGCTGCTGGTGGAAGGCTGAGCTTCATTCTCTGTTCTGAACAAAGACCCCCAAGGGACAGACAGACCAATAAAAAGCTGGGTCCTCTCGGAAAGACCAAGGGTTTGGCTGCCCACCAAGTCAGGGCACAGCGGGGACTCAGGGGATAGGAGGAGAAGCGGTGTGTGTTTTTATTTTGGGGCTGATATCCTCGTAGCTGCCAGACCTTGGTAGCAGGTGGGGCTCCCTCTCACACCTCTTGGGCTGACTCCAGCCCCAGCGGAAGGGCTTCAGGCTCCATGCTGACCATTCCCCCCTGCGCCCATCACGCTCACTTGGGGCCTGGGCTTGGGGTTCTGAAGCAAAGGGCTCCTTGTGTGTTGGCCGCTTCTCTACCCCTGCTTCCTGAGGCCTGGGTTCTGGCCTCAGATCTACAGTGAGCTAGCTCTGAGAGGTGGGGCAACTACAATCTACCTCTCTGGGGCCTCAGTGACCTCACCTGTAAAATGGACTGATGGCTCCTGCCGCACCTACCACCTCAGGTTGCAGGGAACCAGCAAGGTCAGCTAACTGGGGTGAGCCTGTGACCACCTGTGCTTCACGCTCGTGGCAGAGTCCCTCTCTGTGCTCCTGGGCCTCAGTACCTCACCATTCCCATGGTCTGCCTCAAGAAGTGGCCCGTGACTGAAGGGAGATAATGTATTGGAAGGTGCCCAGCAGTTTGGCACACCAGGCCAGTACGTGTCAGCTATTATAATTTGAATGAATTGAATCACCATAATTTGAATGACCATAACGACCATTCATTCCCACCTCTCAGTCTCTCTTTCCTTCTTACCTGATTTACTAAAAATCTCTCCATTAGTGCTTTCAACCCTTAAAGTCCCTCATGCTGGGATGCAAAATCCTCTGGAAATCAGATGACCTTTCCCCCAGTTGTCTCGTACAGTCCCCTGTACTGTAGGTGCAAACCACCTTCCTGATGCAGCTCTGGGCTCCCTGGTCAGCCATTTCCACCTGGTAAACTGCTGGGTGCCCGTGCAAGAGGTTTATAGCCTCATTTGCCCAACAAGCAGGAATTCTACTCCAAGAGCAACTTCCTCATGGTTACAACTGTGCACAAAGATATAGGCTACCTCAAAAGGTAGTGAGCTCCCCAGCACCAGAGGCATTCAAATGAGGTCACTGTCCTCCTAGAATGGAAAGTAAACTCTCTGTGGGAAGGAGCTGCACATCTGGGCATACCTGTGGTACAGTGCCTAGCCTGTAGCAGGTACTCAAAAGTACCTGAAGAAATAGTTGCTTGGGTAGGAAGCTGGCTGGAAGGCCACAGATTATCCTTCTAAACTGATTCTACTTGTTCTTGAATAGCATTAAGCTCAAGGAATGTGGGCATAGAAAAGTATTCATTCTATCATGAAGGATACAAGTAAATGCTGTTTGGCAGCCGCCACAGTCAGCAGACGCAGGGCTGGTCACCAGTTCACTGCTGCTGCTCCCACACATCGGAGACTCTCCTGCATGGCCGGAGGGGGGGGCGGTGCCCAAAGGCCAAGGTCAGCCCTCGGGGGTCTGGGACTGGAAAGGCACGTGCTAAGCTCAAGACAAGGAACGGAATGTGGTAGGAGGCAGGGGGTCTGTGATCAGAGGTAAGGCTGGGGTGAGGGAAGGGTTCAGGGAAGTAGGCGTGGCCTTACCGATCTGCGACCTTCCACACAGTGGGAGCTGCTGTGTGAGCTGTGGTTGGCGCAACCGTGGTCGGGACAGCCTCCCTGGTGGTCCTGGAGAACTTCTGTAGGTACGCGGTATAGAAGGACCTGGATTCCTTAAGTCTGCGAGGGAAGAAAGCACAGAGGAGAGGCAGTGAGTGTGGAGAAGCAGACCCCAGGGCGAACTCCTGCCTGGAGAGGAGGTAGGTGGCTCACTTGACAGAAATGTTTATTAAGAAATATTTGAATCTGGTTGGGTCTTACCCTCCGCGAGCTCAAAATCAAGGCACCCATGCCTCACTTCGGCCTTTCTATCCACTGCTCATGCAATGGAAAGTTTCGTGGACACCAGTCTGATGTCAAAACCCCATCTGGAAAAGCAGCGGGGCCCGAGAAAGTCTCAACCTGGCCCGGAGAGGCTGTGGGATGGAGCGCGCGGAGGAGCAGGTGGGGTCCGCGGGGGCTGCTGCTAATTCCGCCGTGGACAGGACGGCTGGGTCTGACTCCCCTCCCCAGAGACCGAGGAAGCTGCCTGCTCACAAGCTGGCTCTGAGATACCAGAGGGGACATGAGTCCCCAAGAAAGTCACCGCAGTGTGATACACAGCTTTTCAAAAACAGGTAGTAACGACAACAACAAAAATGCTACAATCCTCAAATCCTTCTACAATCCTTTTGACTTCTTTCCCTCTTCCGACAGAGTCCTTGAGGGCAGGCGACACCTCCCGGTCACGGCCACCTGGAGGGAGGGTGTGAAGACCAGCCACAGCATGACGGGACACCCCAGGGGAGCTGGCATCAGGAAGCCCTGCTTCCCACTCTGCCGTCCCGGCCCGATGTTTATCGATGAACAGATGGCTCCGGAGCAGCGTCGTCACAAACAATTTTCCCCTCCACCAGCTCCAAGTAGGGAAACAATGCCTCCTCTCCCCACCAGGACTGGCACTTTCTGTCCCTCCTGTCCCCCTACAGACATCAGGCTTCCCTCCCCCAGGAGAACTCTCTGACAAGGCCTGGCCCGGTGCTATCTAGCGACTGGGGCCAGCAAGGGCGCGTGGCCGCCCTGCCCAGCCTCCAGGCGGGATGGCACTAATGGGCCCGCAGAGCAGCTCGCTGGGTACCTCGGGCAAGTCTCGAGCTCCCTGGCCCTCGAGTTCCTGCCTGCAGAGCCAGGCTACATCAATCATCTACCCAGGGAGGGCATCGAGGCACCATCTGGCGCCATTTAACGGGCCATTCAGCAGCAGGAGCCTGACAGAGGGCCACGGCTGGCCTGATTGTTTTCTCTTGGCATTTTGGAACCGGCTATTGTCTAGCTCCTAATGAACTTTTCTGCAATTAGAAAACTAAAGGGAGGGAGGGTCAGGCATATCTGAGAGCTTGCCAGGCCCGCAGCCTGCCAACGAGTCTGTGGACAGAGGAGAATGAGGAGTGGGGCCAGGGCTGCGGTGGCGGCGGTGCGGAAGCACGGAGGGCGAGGGCGCCAGGAGCCTGAGGCAGGACTGCCGAGCTGGGGGCCGGGGGCCATGTTCCCGGCACTGCCCACCCTGCAGGCAGACGGCTGCTTCTCCTGCACAGGGCGCTCCCTGCCTGTCTCGGAGGGAGCTCCTCAGAAGAAGGGCAGGAGAAAGAACTTGTCAGCCCCAGGAAGAGGCCAGCAGCCCCTCCGGGCAGGAAGAAACGAGCACAGGGAGAGAGGAGGGAGGAGACAGAGAGGCACTGCACTCACACGCGGACCCGGGAGGCAGAGCCATTCCGAAACAGCAAGTAGCAAGACGGGAAGTCGGTGACCCCAAACTTGCTCACCACATCACCCTCCGTGTTCAGGACCCTGCGCACCGCGATGCCATGGTGCTGGGACAGGTCCAGAGTCACCTGCAGAGACAGACAGATAGACGTGTTGGGGGCGGGGTCCAGTCACTGGGCAGAAGGAGCCCTGGGCAGGTGCCTGGTGGCAGCCACGCTCCACCCAGACTCTAAACCTTTCAGAGAGTGGACCAGGGTGCTGAGTGAGTCTCATGCCACCAACCACATCTATGCCACAGGGGACAAGAATCAAGCACTGCCCAGGAGAAGGGGCCTTGGAACTGTGCACACCACACACCTTGAATTTCCTAGAGCAGTCCAATTGAATATCATTTTCTTTCCAATGAAAGCAATCTGTAGAAGGCATGATAAAATGTGGTTTCATTTTTATTCTCACATTTATAAGGCTTTCTATCTATATTTCGAATCAGAAAACATAGATAGGATTTTAATTTTAGAAAGAAATAAGGGAAAAATAATGTTAGCTAATGTTTACAGAGTAGGTATTATGTGCTGTATATATATTGCTTCATTTAATCTTCAAAATAATACTATGAAACAGGAACTATTGTTAGGAGGCCAAGCCAGTAGGCATAGTATACTATGGCTACCTGGGTGTGCATCCTGGCCCCACTGGCCTAAACCTCCCCCCAACTCAATTTCCTTACTTGCAAAACTGGAGTAACAATTGGATTATTAACAAAATTGGAATCGTAACAGCAACTAGTGCATAGTAGGTACATAAGTGTTCATTAAAAAAATAAATGCCTATTGCAAATGAAAAACCTGAGGCTTAGAAGTGAAATCGAGTGTCTAGGTCATACGGTTAGCAAGAGCCTGAATTGGGCAACAAATCCAGTTCAGTTTGGCTACGGAGCCTGGGGTCTTGGTCACTGTGCCTTCCTGCTTTTCAAACTAACCATCCCTGAGCACCTCTGCGTGGACACGGCCCCAGACTCACTCAGTCCACAGGGGTCCCTGCCCCTGGTTTCCCAGGGGGCTAGGGGGTGGGCAGCAGGGAGAAAAGCTGATTCCAATGAACACTTATCAGTCACTTCCTCATGACAGGCATGACCCCAGGCCTGGACTGGGACCCCAGAAGGGTCAGGCAGTCCTTCAGCAAAACTCTGTGCCCCCTCCCCACCTCCCTCTGCTTCCCCTCTTGGGGCTCCGAGGCCTAGAGGCACCCCAGAGCCCTGTCGACTGTGCTTGCTGAGTTTCGGGAGGAAAGCCATTCAGAGTCAACAGTGGTGTTTAATTTCATTCCCACTTTCATGCCTCTTCTACATCCCTGGCCTGCCTTGCACCTTCACCCGTGCCCTGGCCCATCATCCCACCTCTGCACCTGGGAAAAGCTCACCAGTGGTCTAGAGGAGTCTGTGTGCCAGTGGCAGAATGCAGAGCTCTCTGCATCAGGCCAGGGGCATGGATCTTTAAAAGGCACTATTCTGTGCCAGCTACCCACCCAGGTCCGTTACCCAAACTGCCTCATTGGACTGTCCCAGCAATACTCTGAGGAAAGGTAATTATCACTGCTTTATAGGTGGAAATGGGGCTCCAGGAAGCTAACTCACGTGATCACAGATCATCACGAAATGGGAAGTCAAACCTGCCTGTTCTGTAACCTGCCTCATCTGGTAAGGGATCTCACTTCCTAATGTGGCACTGCATGAGCTTTGATGTCCCCTCCCCCCACTCAAGTTTTCTACTCCAGTTCTTGGAGGCGGGCAGGCTCACAGACCTGGCTTAAAGCCGTACTCCACCAATTCACTGGCCAGGGGATCTTCAACGTGTTACCTGATTATCTACCTTAACTTTGAAGATTAGCGACTATGTGTGCCAGCATTCAATGGACAACAGGTGATATATGTGCGGTTTCAGTGAGGGACATGAAAACAGACATAAAGATTTTCAAATAGAAAGGCCCGGCTCCCACACTTCCCATGTCCCCCAGCAGGGGTCAGGCCAGTGCTGAGCTAAGAAGTGCACGTGACCGACACCCTAGAATTCCGGGGGACAGCTCTGTCCTTGAACTCACTGGGCTCCTCAGGAGTTGCAGGGACCCTGAGGGCAGCTTACCTCTCTACCCAGATAGGAGCCTGCCTTTTCAAAGATCAGGGCCAGGTATTCTTCGTCGTTTCTTGCAAAGAAGCCATCAATCTCCTCCAGCCTGCAAGAGACAACATTGGCAGTGACCATCCACAGCCAGTGACAATAAAGCGGAGCTGCTGGGGACACGGGCGCGGCAGGCACAGCACTGCAGGCACAGCCACACAAACTCCTCCTCTGTTTCCACAGGGGGCTCCATGGCGGTCTCCCCCTGCCAGCCCTCCCCTCTGGGGGAGTAAAGCCAAACCCTCAGTCTCAGAGCATGCTGCCTCTGCTACCTCACACTGGCTCTCCATTGTGCCCACCTTATTGACTTGTTTTTTCAAATGTTTATTTTTGAGAGACAGAGAGAGAGAGAGAGAGAGAGCGAGCATGAGAGTGTGCAGGGGAGGGGCAGAGAGAGAGAGGGAGAGAGAGAAGCAGGCTCCACACTGTCGGTGCAGAGCCTGATGTGGGGCTCGATCCCACAAACTATGAGATTGTGACCTGAGCTCCAATCAAGAGTCGGGTGCCGAACCGACTGAGCCACTCAGGTGCCCCTTGATTTGTTTTTTGATGCTGTCTCTTAAAAATCTGGGGTGATTATGAGGTGGTCTAGGGAGCAGGAAGTGGGTGGGGGAGGGATGCTTTGACACTAGTCGTCTTTATGTTCTGGGTAAGGCCCAGGCTTAGCGAATATGGTTTTTATTTGTCCCCTAAGGACCAGTGTTTAGAACCATTCAGATATGAGACTTAGTCTTGGTGGTGGCAAGTCATTACCAACTGGGAGACCCGCTTTCCCTCCCCTGGAGCAGGCCTGACAAGGGAATTAAAGAACCAAAGTCCTGGATGCAGGAGACCTTAGAAGCCATCTAACCCAACCTCCTTATTTTAATTTGAAGAGACTGAGACCCAGAACAAAGGCAGAAATTAGTAAGAAGGTAAATGTTATGATCACCTCAAATCAGAGAATTAAGCTCCAAATGGTTTTAGAAACTCAAAGTTTCAGCGGAAAATAACTGCACAAAAATGATCTGTTTCCTCATTCCAATTAAAGACGGCACATTGTCACACATGCTTAAGAGGCCAACACGTAAGAGGGCACTGGGAGACTGCATCTTTTTATCCCTAACCTGATGACCTATTTCCCTCTACTGGATCCAATGACACATGTGGCATGATCACATCCAAATGGAACACACAAAATGGGGCCGACGCTGGAGCCCAGCCCAGCGACAATACAAAAGGATGTGCTAGAGAGGTGGGGGCTAGAGTGTACTTCAACGGGGGAATGAAAAGAGGAGCTGTGGACTCTGACAGCCTCTCAGACCCCTTCGCCAGACCTCCCTTCGGCTGGCAGAAGAGTAACACGGCGGCCAACACCCCCCAGCCCATCCATTCCCACTCAGACTTCTGGAAGAGGCAGCTCACCTTTCATCACACACCTCTGCCTCCTTCCTAAAGCTCTTTAGAAGGGCCACTTTGAGGGAGTTGGCAGGTGTGTCTGATTTGCTGCTTTTGAGATCCCTTGGGACTGAAAATGCACCATGAGGGATGTGTGTGCCTAAGACAGACAGACACGGTCACTGGGAAATGTAAGTAAGGAACAGGCTGGCTGGCTGTTTCCTGGAGAGATGGAATCACACTGTGCAGCCCCAAACCACACCTGACTAATGCTGGGTTCAGGATCTCTGTGGGGCCCTCCGGGAGGATGGACAATTGGGGAAGATTATAAAAAGTCACCGTGGGTTGACTGACGCTTAGAAGCACAATCTCTTGGCAGGGCTATGGCTTTGAAGAACATCATTAAATCAACGTGGAGGGCCTGGAGCACCAGCGCCTGTCTCACGAGGCCTTTTCAGCCCCTGGAACCTTCATTGTGCTCTAAGGCTGGGCTCCCTCCAGCAGTGCCTGCTGGTATTTGGATTTGTTCCTTCTTGGCAGGAGTCCCTGAGGTGGGCACTGTCCGGTCTCAAGAGCTTATCTGGGAGGG